TGATGCAAATGCCATGCAGGCCTCAGGACTTTACGAGGAGAAAGGGGCTGATGGAGGGGAAGAGCTTGCAGGCTTCTAATGCAGAGGGAGGCTTCCCCATGGGAGGCTGGCAGAGGGTACCTGTTCTGACTTCCCAGGTTGTTTTGAAAGGCATTCTACCTTATTTTGGTCAAGGTCTTGACTAAGGGCCGTAGGTGTGTTGAGGAACTAAAGTGGCAATTCAGTTGATTAGAAACAGAAGGTCTACTATCCCTCAGCAGCTGCCATTGAGTGATTTTCCCACTTGGAATTCCATAGAGTCAGAATGAGAGAAGTTTAGTGCTGGAAGAGCAGCATGTATGTGGGTTGAGGGGAGGGTAAGGCAGGCAGAAAAGTGGGAAGGGAACTAACATGTACGCGTTAGGATTGTTACATGTTTTCTTCATTGAATCATTTCAAATGTACTTTGAGGAAAGTAATTCTCCAAGAAACCGAGGCCCAGACCTACAGCGAATTGTTGGAGATAGTGGTTAAGACAGTGCTAAAACCCCGTATGGCCACTGTTCCTCCTACTGTTCTGTGTGAAGATCCATCTTGACTGGAAAGAGGAGACTCTCAACCTGGTTGTGTGCACTTTTCTCTTTTCTCAAAGGAAAGCAGGAGTCCCGCGTGAACAAGATGGCCAGGAGTGCATCACGGAGGCTCTCCTGGTTTCCCAGGAGGCCACCCTTCTCACAGGCTTTATGACGCAGCTCCCTCAAAAGTAACATTCTAATTTCCCAGTCCCTAAATTGAACCCAAATCACATTGCTTTGTGCACATGTGAGCCAAGTGAGGACTTCCGCAACAAGAAGGCAAAACCAAAAATCAAGGAAACTTACAAACCAATTTTAAATAGAACAAAAACTATGCATTTCCTAAAGCCACTGAACTGAAACAAAACCAGAATAAAATATTCTCAGTAAACCTGAATCAAGCCAATATTTCCCTTGGGTCGAGTCCATGGCCACAAGTAAATGTCACCGAGTGCTCAGGTGCTTTGTGAGACTGAAAACTTGGCCTGCAGAGGACACCAGGCTGGGGGCCCTGGCTCAGGCAGCCGTGGGGTGCAGGGGGGCTCAGGTGGCCCTCACCTGGCCTGGCCTCTGACTCCTTATCTGTAAGCTAGTTGGTTTGCACTCTTTCCAAGGTGTCTGAACTAAACGTAATCAGAAGCAGTGGAAACTTTCTGAAGGTGGTGTCTTTCTGGGGAATCCTGTATGTAGAACTGATAAAAGCAGAGTATCTTTGGATGGTGCAGCTGGTTGTGGCTCAGCCGATCCTGAGTAAAGTACAGAAATGATAAAGGGTGATATTTACTGTGCCATGTACTTTTCTAAGCCCTTTCTCTTAGTAACTCACTAATCCTCACAAACATCCTTCTGAGGTAGGAACTATAATCATTATCTCAATTTTACGTTTAAGGAAACTGAGGCACAAAGAGGTTAAGTAAATTGCCTGACATCATAGTTAGTGACAGGAAGTGCGGGATTTGGAGGCAGGCACCCTGCCTAGGATCGCACTGGTTCAACCGTGCTGCTCAGTTAGGCTGGCCAGCCAGGTGTGCCGGGTCCCAGTCCATGTAAGGGACACGAAATCAGAATGGAACAAATCAGAAACTTGGCACCAGTGAACTCTGGTCCCTATCAGGGATTCCCAATGTGCAAAATGAAAGCTGGACACTGAAGCCCAAGGAGGCAGAATACTCAGGTGGACAAAAGCAACGCCCTCCCGAGTCCTGCCCTACCACCAATGACAGCTTTGCTCCTGACACAGCAGGTCATACCTTGACATTGCAGGCTGTTGCCCAGCCCTGAAGCCCCGTGTCTAAAAATGTTGCTTTGCCTGTAGTTGCAATAGGCTGAAGTTCTGAGGCCAAATGGCTCAGTGTGTAGTGCTGTTTATCAGAAATAAGAGATTTACTTTATTATCTAATTTGAAAACCCTTGAATATGCCTCCTAAGGGGATGTCTACTTCTGAAATTCACAAAAAAGGAAGGAAAGAGGGAATACAAACTACAGAATAATGAAGTGTTTCGCCAATGTGACAAAGGAAATAATTTTAAAACACATTTTTGAGGATGGTTTTATTATAGTAGACATATATTATATCTTTGTCTTTTATGGGTGAGTGACTAACACCACCCAGTTATGAATGGAAAGATAACTGTCTTTCAAGACAGTTTTAGATAAAGTAAAAATGTGAAGACATGTTCAGTGCACGTAATACATTTCTTATTTTTAGGCATAGGAGAGGCCAGTCTGTGGCTTGTTGTTTCATTTTCTTAGTGGTATCATTTGAAGAGGGATTTTTATAGGTTGTGTTTTTGGTGTCATATCTAAGAAATTTTTATATGTTCTAAGATCACAGAGATTTTCTTTGGCTTCATTTCCTCATTCAAAATGCTTCTTAAGCTACGCTTGTGCCAGGCACCGTGCAAGGGGCTATTCATGCGAAAGCGCACGAAACACTCCCTCCCCTCTGAGGGGGCAGTCCATCGTAGGCAGGCATTTGGTTGCTTTTACAGAAGCACCTGCAGTTGGGACACTGAGGAGGGAGTGTGTAGCGTTGCCAGAGCCATCGGTGGAAGCGAGAGGCGGCTCAGGTGGTCTGATACGGAATCTCAGGACCAAAACTGGTAGAGGGGACAGTCAGAGGCTCCCAGAGGACTGCAGAGGAGTATTGCTAAGAGGATTTGGGGAGGAAGAGAATAGTCTTCTATAGCCTCAAAAGAGCTTAGGCAGAATTTACTTAGTATTTTTACTGGCAGAGACTACCTCTCCAATGTAGCAGGGGTGACTGAGGTCTCTAAGTTACATAAAAAAAAAAAAGATGAAATCTGTAAATATTGACAGTGAGAACACTGCCCCCAAGATTGTCCCCTTCTAATGTCAGCCTCTCAGGCAGTTTGGATGGAAGAGCTGCTCATCTATTCTCTTTTGGAAAGACAAGAATGGCATCATCAGCTTTCTTACAGTGATCAAAACTGATCTTTCTAGAAGCTGAAGGAGAGGCTGTGACACCAGGAGTTTTCACTCCCTCCCGTAAGGATGGCGACTGTGAGGCATCTGGTTATGAGCACCAGTATTAAGGTCTAGTTCATGAACAGCTGTTCTTTCCCTCGGGGAAGAGGCTTTTGATCATGATGTTTATTCCCGTTGCTGCCCTAACAGGAGACCAAGCAAACTTCTCGCAGAGCAGGGCTGGCCCCAGGGACTATCCTAGGAGGAACTGGTGAAGAACTACAGCAAAGAGAGAGGCTACCTCAGTTTTGCTTTAGGGTCAGATTTTTAGGGCTCGAAGGGAGGGCACTGGTCTTCTGCTACTCAAAGTGCGGCCTGAGGATCAGCAGCATTAAATCACTTGTTAGAAGCGTTGAATCTCAAGCTTCACTCTGAGGAAGGTGGAAGAGCAGATCTTTTCCCCATTTTTCCCAAGATGTTGACATTACGGGCAACATCTGCTTTTTATCAAGATCCTCGTGTGATCTGCAAGCACTTTTCAGGTTTGAGAAGCACTGGCTTAGTCCGGTGGTTCTGGAGTCCCCTGAAAATAGCCTGGCTAGGGGGTCACTGTAGTACTTCCAGGGACAGATAGCCAAGGGCAGTCAGCAGATGAGAACGATCTTTTTACTTTTCTTTTTAGATTAGGCTGGTTAGGCAGATAAAGGGATGTAAGTGAATAAATGACTATACTCTAATTTACATGGGCAGGTCAGCTGTTAGAGTTTACCCTTTAAAACAGCTAACTTTTGTAGCAAACTTGTTGCTTCAAAGGTTTGAATGAAGCGATAAGAGGGCTTTGGTATGTGATTGTGTTCACTTAGCCTAATTCAGCAGAATATCCAGTCTTAGGAGAATGCAGCATTATTATGCGTACTATGAATGCAAATGAGTTGTTAATTATTCTGTGTAGTGTTCAAATGGCCACTCATTGTTTTTCATACTAAATGAACAAACTGATGCAAGCAGTGGTTCCCAAACTTTAGTGGTTATCAGATTCACCCCAAGAGCTCGTTAAAACATTGCTTAGCACCGCCACTGAAGTTTTTGGTTCATTTTGTAGGGTGGGAACTGATCCTTTGCATGTCTAGCAATTCTCAGGTGATGTTAATGCTGGGTTATAGCTAAAGTAGCTTCAGATGCATTTTTAGCACCATAGGAAATTCCTAGACCCTTACTATTCGATGCTGCGCTCTGCTGATATAGCACATAGGGCCAACTTTCAGCAGTCCATCCAAGGTCATGGGAGTTGGCGTCCCTGGGGCAATTTAAGTACAGAAATCATATGACAACATTCTCTGAGACCATTGATTTCAAACTTCTGAAATCACCTACACCTACAACTGAGGTGCTAAAAAAACGTAATTCACTTTATTTTCCATTCTTCTCCTAGTTCCTACCCACCACTGACAGTAAGTAGAGAGTTCTGGTTGTTTGATGTTGAAATCAGAAGCACCTACTGGTTGGCAAGGTGGCTCCACTGGCCCGTGTTGCCGAGACTCTCTGAGCACGGGGCTGGCTCTGAGCTGAGTGCTGACCCTTTGCCATTATGGTCCTGTGTGTAGGTATGAGCTCAACCCACAATTGCCCTCGGCACCTATAGGCTCACATCCATGACTGCAGTAGAATTAAGGAGCAGTTATCTTGTGAAAAGACCTGGGGCCTTTTAACTCTTGGAATTGCCTCAGTCCTCAGTGTACTGCAACGTCGTCGGCACGGCACAGGGCCAGAGCCTCTGTGGTCGGGGTTCCTCCTGGCTCGTTTCCCCACCTGTGGCAGCGGCTCAGGTTTGAACTGATTGCTCTGGTGCTGCCTGTCTAAAGACTGCCTGCAGACGGCTCTGTGACACAGCCTTCCTGCCAGGGAGAAACCAAGACTGCACTTTATACCATCACTGAGTGGAGGCAGGATTGACCTCACCAGAGCACCTTGCCTGTCTGACTCCATTCCATCTTCGTAAAAACAGAGACTTGGGAGTATTTTTTTTTTAATAAAAAATTTATTGAGATGATGCAATTATAGGCTTTTCTTTAAAAATTATTTGCAACTCACTGGCCCTGAGAAAAGGCATTTTTTTTTCTTTTTGTTACATTCATTTGATTCAGTCCCTTATAAACCCCACACCTCTTAAACAACAAGAGATTAGAAATTAAAAAAAAAGAGAGAGAAAAGACAAAGAAATTCTAGATTCGTTCTGGTTTGCAGGTGGTTGCAGTCACAAAGAGAAATCAAGAATGTTCCCTTGGCATGTGTGAAAAAGTCAGGGAGTCCGCAGTTTAGTGTTGATGCTGATGGGGCCCAGGGTGTCAGGTTAGTCTTCTGTGGTTTCAGATGAGCAGGGATTACTGTGTCCCCTCCCCGCCCCCTGCCCTGGCTTCCTTGTGTCACGCCCTTCATTCCAGGTTTCTGTCCAGAAGAGGAGCAGGCTGAGTGGGAGAAAACTAACTAGCACCGAATGCTTGGGCAAAGAAAACTGCCCTTTGTTCTTTGTGTATTTTCCTGGACCTTTTATCTTCAGTTTCCTGGGTGAGAACGGGTCAAATAGGGGTATGATCAGGCTAGGTCCCAAACCTAACTCTGTCCCTGGCCTGTTGTCTTCTCTTAGGACAAGTCCTATTACCTCTCTGATACTCAGGTTTCCCTTCTGCCAAAGGAGGTTAATATTTCAAAAACGTATTCAGAGTTGGAACCTAGGGAGGGAAAGGTGGAAACGGTGGTTACTTAGTCATTTAGGTAAATCCTGCCATAGCCTTGAAGTGTCAGCTAAATCCATATTTTCAGTGTAAAAAGACAATGGATCAGAGCTTCCAAAGATGCTGTTGAAAGGACAAGGTCCATCAGTCTGTTATTTCTCTTTTCCTTTGAGGAGCCCCCCCCGCCCCGCCCCCAGGATCCAGAACACCGGTGATGCTGCCTTAAGCCAGACTGAGCTGCCTGGGGATCAAAGGCCTCAGAGATGGCGTTCCCTCCACATAGCCTGTCTAGCCAATTGCCACTGCGATCTTCTGAAGGACAGGAGGAAACCTGGCTAACTCACAGTGCAGGGAGAAGACGCTAGAGAGGACTAGAGAGGACGGTACCCATTTGGGACACAGCTGGAGACCGCGCTCCTCCCCCACGTGCTCATCTGCATTTTCCTGTCCCAATTTCTGATCTCACAAGCCAAGGATTCCCACGGTGGCAGCAGGGAAAGACCAACTATTGAGGTCATAGGCATGCTTTTAACTTGGCCCCGGGTGAAGCTTTCATCGCCCCTAGTATGCGGTGCTGAAGGGAGAACGGTCATGCTGGCTAGCCTCTGCGGGGAGAAGGTAAGCTTTCGGAGGGCAGGATTGTGGCCGAATCGTTTTTGACTTGCTCACAGTGTCTGTAACAGGGGCTCCATCGAGGACTGCTAAATTCAATCTGAAGTCTTTGGGGTCTGCAGAGGGTCAGTCCTGTATCCATCTCTGGTGTCAGCACTGCCCAGGCATTCTCTCAAAGAACAAATGGGAAGGTCTTCTGCTGGTATGGGAATCAATAGAAAATCGTTACCGGTAATACCTGGATGGGGAATCAACACTATACTGGAATTAGCACCTTCTATTTCTTCTTTAAGTGGCTGAAGGTGTCATCCTAAGTCTTACATATTCTTATAGAATATTGCTTTAAATACACGAGTCCTTGGGGCAAAAGGTGATTTTGCTCCACAGTTCAACCTTAGGATTCTTGGAATGGACAGAGCCTGAGTCCCCATACCTGGGTGAAGGGAAACAGAATGAGATGTCCTAATCTTAGGGAAGAGCATCGCGCCCTGGTGTCCGATTTCACAATCACACAAAGGGCCCCAGTAAAATCCACCCTTCTCTCCAGCCCTTAAACTCAATGGCTTTCACAACACACCAGGCATCTGGCTTCATCTCTCCCTTTGAGACACAACATCAGTCATCCTAGAGGCTGGAAGGTACCAAGGTGTGCTGCTGAACACTCCTGAAAGACATCTGCGGCATGCTGAGATGCAGCTGATTTCATCACCATCCAAGCTGGTTCAGACCAAGCCCTCCATAAAGGGAGGCTTGGCTCTCACACACAAGGTCCCCAGCCTCACTGCAAGCGCCACATGCTGAGAGTAGGGCAGGGGTGTCGTGTGATGGCGGACGCACGCTGGCCACCTCCATGTGTCTATGTGCGGTCTGATACGGGGCGGGAACAGAGCCGGACTGAAAAGCCCTGATCAGCTCCTTAATTCCAGTGTCTTTAAACCACAGTCCATCTATTTGTGCCTCCCTCCTCCCAGGCGGGTGTCCTTGTCAGGAGGGTGGGGTAGAATTCTTGGTGCCTGACTGAACTCAGAGATGCTTGCAGGAGACGCTGGGGGTCTGACAGCTTTTTCTGGGACCCGCTGCTGCCAGTCACACACGTACCCGGGGGGAGCTGTGAGACGCTCCCTGACTGAGCTGAGGGAACAAGGAGGGGGTGCTTTGTAAGGCAGGCCTAATCTTTTGAATTAAAAAAAACACTGTACTCCTAATATTGGATTCTGAACCTGTATTGGAAGAGTCCATTTAGACGGCTAGAAAAGGAAAGCAAATCTAAACAGCTCTCTAAAAATGTTATCATCCAAAGTACTAAGGGGTGCTCATTTTCCAAGATACTATTGACCTTACTTTGAGGTGAAAAGAGCCACGAATGGGTCCATTCTAAAACACAGCTATGCAAGGAGGAAAGAAGGAAATGGTAATGTAGTAACGTATTGTATCTGAGGAATTTCCTTTCTGCCCACGCTGGGTAAACACCGGCAGCAACTAAGACTGCACACTCCAGGGTCCTCCCTGTGGGGACAAGGAAACTTCTAAAAAGCCTAAGAATTGAAAAAGTACTTAGGTGAGGGCATGGAACTGACCACATGATGACCTTTGGGATGGAGAAGAAAAGACAAGGCCCTTCCTGCCTCACTAGCCTCTATAACCTGCGGACTTTTCACTCAGTTTCTGGACCATCAGGCCTGTGCGGTCTTTTTGCATTTTCCACTTTGTAGCCCTTGCAAGCTGATCCCGAGGTGGCAGGGCCTTCCGAATAACTCGGACAGCCCGCCACCCTGCTCTGACGCTCTGTGGAGCCGTGGAGCCGTGTGCCTCTCGCGGCCGTGTCCCAGGTGGTCTGCGGGGCTGGCGCTCATCTGCCTGGGGGACAGCAGCATCTCTGGTGTTTCGGGCCTCCCTTCGACGGGTGGTCACATGCCGGGGCGTGCGTTTCATTTAGCGGTGCTGGCCCCAAAGCACCCAGGCCGCCCATTCTGCTTAGGTGCCAAGTGCTCCCCAGACTCTCCAAGAGGCTGAACTCTTGGGAGCAGGGGCACAGGGAAGGAAAGCGAGCAGGAGAGAAAAAGAGAGCTCTCCTTTTCACTTTATCTATTTTAAAAGCATCTTTTCCCCCCGCCTAGCCAAAGTCTAATAGCAACAGGAACAGACCTGATCCACGTGGCAGGAGAAAGAGGAACTTGGACCTTTTCACAAGTATTCTTTTCCCTGACCAACTGGGTTTGCCACACTTTGTGAGATTTGCAAAAAAAATACATATATATAACAGATATATATTTCCATAGGAAAACAACCTTGGGTGTCTTCCTCTAGATGAATGATGAAAAGTCAAACTGCATGGTCTTAAAAAACAAAAACAAAAACAAAAACACCATGAAACTAACAGTAGGCGGAAGGGTGAGGGTGAGGAATTACAGATAGACAGATTCCAAATGAGCAGGGAACATGAAACGCGAGTCCCAGGCTCGTGCCCTCGGCCAGAGTTCCAGCCCCGCCTTTGCTGGGTGGTTTGTCTAAGGTGCTCTGGGGTCCCTCCTGGTATGTAAGAGAAGTGTCCCTCCCATTCCTGGGTCTCTTCCCTTTCTACTCCCCTCAGCCCGCTGGCTCCGTCCCGTCTCCGGCAGTCCTGGTGGGCAGGGGCTCTCTCGGCTGCGGCCCGCTGAGATGGGGGGTCGGTGCCTTCAGCACTCGTCTTCTTGGTATATTTGTTCATCCAGCTCCTGGGACTCAAGGTGCTCCAGACGGTCTGTTCGGCCGCTCATGATTTCATCAGGGGTTTTCATGAACCTTTCAGAAAGGAAATGGAGGAGTAAAGTGATTACGTTTCCCTAGAGTCTTCACCCTGAACTCAAAACAAAAAAGAAAGGCCCTAACAGCTCAGATAGCTGGAGGGCTGCTGAGCCCAGCTATGAACACTAACTCAGTGCCAATTAGAACAAGGTGTACCTTCCCGAGTGCCTGAAAAATGGTGAAATAACTATAAAAAAAAAGGGCTAGGATGACTGCAAGGTAGTGAGCACCCGCTGAAGCGGTGGGGTGTATTCCCCCACAACCATGCACGGGAACCCTGGTGCAGCTCACTTACCTGCGGTTCTTATTTTTAGAGAATTACATTTCACAAGGACCCATGAGAGCTGTAGCTCCGTTTCCATGCCGGCCTGTGAGTCCGGGGAATGGTATTCAAAACTGGAATTTAACTCAATGGATACAATTAAACTTTGAGTGGAAAATTTTGGTAACTGGGCCAGTGAGTAGTGGTGCTTTTGGAAATCAGAAAAACAAAAAGGAAATCTCTTTCAGTGTTATCACGGATGTTTCCTAAGTGTTAGCAATGAATCCCCTTTGGTCTGTCTTCCTTTGCAGCAGGGTGCATATGGCAAGCCTTATCTTGTTCATTGGGTTCGCTTGGGAACAACTTCGGTAACATGTTTCAACCAAGATTTCCATGGCTCGGGAAGGCAGCCTGGCAAGTGTCCTGCCCCCCCGTGGAGTGCAGAGCCACCGCCTGGCTCTGTGCGGGCACGCCGCTCCCTTCTCATATACTCTGCCCCGCACCCGGTGAACTGTCTTAGCACCTGTTGTACACGCTCTCTCATCCCTCCGTCTTCAAAAGCCTCTGACGGCCACTTATCAAGTCAAGGATGAGCTCTCTGGCCTGCCCCCTGGGACCCTTTGTGATCCCACCCAGGAAACTCTTGATTTCCACTATTTACTAGCGTGAATCCTCCATTGCAGTCTAGCCAGTCTTTGTCCCTATATAATCATGGCTCCTGGCATCCTCCAAACCTCTAGCTCTGCCCATATTCGGAACCCTCTTTACTCTTCCCCTCTCTGAGCCCTGTTCATTCTTTGAGCTCTGCCTCGTCACCAAAGAGCTGCTGATGGCACCAGTTCCACACGGAAACCTTCCTTTCCTCAACCCCTAGCCATCTTGTAAAGGGTACCCACGATTTAACACTTCACGTGACTCCACCCTGGGTTTTATACCCTCCATTGCAGCCCGGCCAGCCTTCCCTCTGTGGCAAGTCTGGCTTGCAACACTCATTTTCTCAAAAATGACCAATTTCCCTCACTAATAGCACTATTCTTTCCTTTGCATCTTGTTGAAAATCACTACTGGAAACCTAGGAACCTTCCATCTACCACAGCTTTTCTTCTCTGCCCATATTACTGAACTTCTCAAGCAGGGTGACCTGTGGCGCCTGCAGCCTGTCTTCCACATTTTCTCCCCGAGCTAAAACTTCTCCCTCAGCAGAGGCTGAAGTCACTGATATCCTGTAGGCTACGTCCACAGATAGACTATGTTTAGCCCTTTGGAGTACCCCTTCGTCTTCTGACTGTTTTTCCTTATTAAGCTTCTGGTATTCCATGACATGCTTGCCAGGAAGTATTTATTAAAAGCCTCCATAAGTTGTAAAACAGAATTATACAAAATGTAATCCTCTGCCTTCTAGGAGTGTATGATGTAGTTGTGGGGAAGGTCTTCACTATTAAAAATGTGAATCATGATGTGGTTTAGGGCCAAGAGAACCCAAGAGATGACAGAAGAAGATATCTGTGTGTGTTTGAGCAGTTGGAGAAGGCCTCATGAAGGCAGTGGACTCGAGATGGACCTACAGAGTATATAGATTAAAAAAGCAAATGTTAAGGAGTATATGTTTCTGGCACAGGGAATTATATTTGTGTTGTGGAGCAGCTGTCAGTGTGTATTATGAATTCGGAAGGATGGAGAGTAGACCAGAGGTAGAAAGAAAATGAAGTAATCTGGGTGTGAATACAAAGTCTAGGTATCAGTATCTAGACTTTGGCTTGGGAAGCAATAATAATGCTTTTGCCTTTCTTTAATCTTCCAAACCTTAAGAAAGGCCTTGTCATTGGTAGACTCCAGCCTGGAACCTGCTGGTAAGAAATCTTGGGACATGTGCTTTCCAGGTTTCTAGTTCCTGCATCACACAATGAAGCCAATGGACCATTCAGCATAATGACTGACCTGGATATAGGAAGACTCAAAGGGGACTGTAGTGTGAAGTTCGGTTGCTTAAAACAGTGATGATGCTACTGATGAGAAAAAAAGAATTTGGGGCAGGGGGAGGGTATTTCTGGTATGCGAATGAAGGTCTGTCTGCAATGTTTCATGTCTGAGATACTAACGCAAAATTTAAAAAGACATGTGTGCCCTACGAGAAGCTCTTGGAAATTCAGATTTGAAATTTTAGGGAGATTTTAGAGCTGGATACGGAGATTTTAAGAGTGTAACCATTGAGGTGGGACAACAGCTGTGTAACATGATCAGCTCATTCAAGGAAAAAGTACAGAGCAGGAAGAATATAGCCAAGGACTGACTAAGTTTGGAGAGAGGGATGAAGGGAAGGCATCTACAGGGCCGGATGAAGGAGGGCTCTTCTTTACTTCATTCCCTTCTGTTTCCATCTTTCAAACAGCCTTTCCCATTTGATTTCAAGATCTCAAATTGCTTTTACTACCCCTTCCCGACACTAAAGCCCAGGTTCTTGGTTCTGTTCGGTGAGCCTATCTGCTCATAGGCGGTGTCACTTTCTACCTGTATAGAAGTAATTCCAAATCCACATTTCTAGCCCCATCGGTAAGTCTTTTCTGTCCCACCTGCCAAAAGCCATGACTTCAGGTTATTTGTTGACCCCACTGTCTTCTAACTTTCCCTTGGCCTCACCATGTCATTTACCACCCATGAACACCAGCGTTCTACTTCTCCTCATTGGTCCTTTAGATCCCTTCTTCTTCCTCTTCTAATTCTTTCTCCTTTCTGACATTGTACTTGGAACTGACATCTATATGGTAGTTTAAATGGTTGGAACTCAGCTTTGAGGAATCTTGGGAACAGGAATATCTAGTGCAATAGCTTTCAGACTTTTCTGATTTCTGACTACAGTGCATTGTAATAAATACATTTTACATCATGATGCAACACACACATACACACACAACAAAATTTTCATGAATCAACAGTCCCTCTTAATTTCATGTGATACAGTCTGATATTTTCAATTCTATCCTAATTAATTCTGTTCTACTTTATTAAAAAATAACTGTGACTGACTCATTAAATCTATTTCATGATTCACTCATAGGTCATGATTGCAGCCTGACAAACAGCTTATAGAAACTACCTTACAGCATTGGTACGCTGGAAGTTGAGGCTTAATTCCTTGCTTTGCTATTGACAATGTTACTCTGGTTGCTCCCTTCAACTACAATGGGTGTTAATGCCAGATAAATATTTTATCATTGCATTATTTTAACAGTGAGTCAGACTGTATTTACTTAGTTTTGGTTTTACTATAGGACAGGCATAAGTAGAAAAAAAACATTAAAAAAAAGATTCTAACAGACCAGAACCTGGCATCCGATTTGTAGCCACAGTGGCTTTGAGCATCAGATAGGCAGGTAAAGATCTTAACAATCTCCCTCCTCCCACTTACATAAAGAAAACAATATGCTCCCAAAAGAAGGAAAGGAGAAAAAGGAAGTGCTACCTGAACAAAAGCCTTTGTCCTGGCTCCTTCCTGATAATGTTTAGTTTGTAGTAGTGGCGCAGGGCTCTGGACATTTTCTCATAGGTCATGTTTGTTCTGTTCTGTTTGTTCAAAGGAGGAAGAGAGAAAAAAAGCACAAAGACACAATGAAATGAACCTCAGAAAAGGCGCTGGCGGAGCTATTGGAAAAAAAAAGCTCTTCAGCTGCTCCTGTGGCCCTGCTAGTTTGGGAAAGCTACCTGCTAATCTGCTGCCTTCCAGGCGCATGAGTTCCCACCCCTTTGCTTTTACAAAGGTAGCCGCCAAGATTTCTCCCAGTGAATCACCCTTTGTCAGAAGCCCCAGAGCTCTAGCTAATAAGGCATATCCCACAGTAACCTCCCTTATTTCCTTTCCCAAGACTGGCTCTGCTATGCCCAAAGAATTTCCTGCAGGCTCCCACTATCTGTGGGTCATCCTTCACCTTCTGACCCACAGAGTGTTTCTTTTTTCTTTTTTGTTGTGGTGACCTTTCTCAAACTGTGTTTCTGGTTTGTCATCTTAAGGAAGAGATTTTTTTTTGTTGTTTAAATTCCTGTTGTGGAAGCAAGAATACAGTGGTTCTGAGCCCCGGGGCTATGGCACAATGTAGGCGTTGCCAAGGGAGTTTTCTCAGCAGCTCACACGGAAGTGCCTGGCAGCGGGCCTTGCCACATTTGGTCATGGCCTGCATTAGGTCCTCCAAGGCTGCAGCTGGGCCACGGCTCAGTCGCTGTGGCCCCCGTGTCCCCTCCCATTCAGCTGACCAGGCATTGGGCCACCACAGCCTCTTGCTGGCTTTGCACCACATCCACCTGTCTATGGTCAGGTCTGGATCCTGGTTACTGTTTATTTATTTTTTTAAGTAGGAATACAGATTTATTTATTCAGATTTTTTTTGGGGGGGGGAGGGTAGCTCTTTGCTCTATTTATTTTATTTTCTTGTGGTAAGAACACTTAATGTGAGATCTACCCTCTTAACAAATTTTTAGTGCATAAAACACTAGGTTAACTATAGCTCCAATGTTGTAGAGAAGATCTCTAGAACTTACTCATTTTGCTTAAAGGAAACTTTATGCCTGTTGACTAGTAACTCCTCATTTCTCCCTTCCCCCACTCCCTGGCAGTACCATTCCATTCTTTGATTCAATGACTTTGTTTATTTTAGATACTTCACGTAAGTGGAATCAGAAAAATATCTGTTTTTCTGTAACTTGCTTATTACACTTAGCATACTGTCCTCAAGGCTCATCCACGTGGTCACACATTGAAGATTTTCCTTCTTTTTTAAGGCTGGATAATATTCTATTACATGCATAGACCATAGCTGTTTAATCCTTTTGGTCATGGATGGACATTTCAGCTGTTTTTACCCACTTTTTTACATCTACATACTTCAACAGTTTTCTTAACTGTAACAGACATTATCTTCTATATCCCATTCTCTCTTCTCAGTATGGAAAATTATGGGGCAAATACTTCTTGCACTGACTGCTTTTAAAGGGGGATGTTTTATTAAAGTTGGAATATAAGTATTTTCTATATAGAAATGGCCTTCAGGAACAGGGGAGTTTCTAACTGAGCACAACAGCAGCCACGCTTCCCAAAGCTCCTTGTGAGTCAGGCAGCCCCTCAGCGCTTCCCTGTTACCCTGTTCCTAATGATGGCTGGGGAACAGGGCCGGGTCAAGGTCAAGGGCATGGGAGGGAGGGTTTTTCAGACCTTAGCCCTAACAGACCAGGCAGGATATGCTGAGTTAACTGGCACCTGGCCTAAATAACAAACGGAAAGGGGCATCTTTAATTATCTACTTCCCTTTGCAACTGTCTAATTGTGTGCCTTGTTTGCCCAGTAAGGAAGAAACGAAATAATTACGGGCAGGCCTAGGAAGCAGACAGACAATCATCCTCCAACCCAGGATAAAGGCTTTATTTTGGCTCTAGTTTACAGAATGAGTATCGGGTGCCCCTTTACCTTATGGTTTCCCCACAGTCGAGCCAGTCCATTGGGATCCACTATCCGGAATATTTTGGATTCTTTGTCCTCCCATCGGATGAAGTTTTCGTACCGGCTGTCAGAAAGCAACTGATAGACGTAATCCCAAAGCAGTCTACAGTCTACAGAGGAAAAGGGCAAGAAAACACTGTTGAAAATGTTTCTTGTTGAGGCTGAGGACAAGAATCATAAAACAGTCGAGTAAGGAACTGCTTTTGTCTAGTTTGGATGGACCACCTTACTTCCTCTCCTGCCAGGGAGGAGCTCTATGTCCAGAGAGGCATGTGGGATGGTGCTGGGGAGGGCGACTTTTGTCCTGTGCAGGCCTCAGAGACCATCCAGGTCAACTGCCTCCTTCCATTGATGGTGTCACAGTGACCTGGAGAAAGGAAGCCACTCGTCCTCGGTTACGACCAATAACTGGAATTTGAGCAGAGCCCACAGGAAAGACAGAGAGAAACAGGCTTGAACTGCAAATGTGCTGGTTCTGAAAGTGGGTGGAAAAGTGGGCTCTAAAATGGGCTGGCAGGTGGCAGAGGAGAAGAGTGCCGGCGTTCCAGAGAGAGCGGGTGGTGTAAGTGGTGGCACTAAGATTACGTTGGTGTTGGAGGGTGATACTGAACAGATGAAGACAAGAAGACTGGGGTTGGCTAAAAAATGGCAGAAAAAGAAGCACGATGTGTGAAAGGCTGTGGGAAAAGAAAAACTATGTGACTTGGTGACTGTGACTAGCATTTTTTTTTTTTTTTTAAAGAATATAGCTATTCTCACTGCGGCATACTTTGGAGGTCTTTAAAACTGTTTTATTATAATGAAAGCAGGGTGGAAAAAAAGGCAGTGCAAAAAAAATCCCCTTTCTCCACTTGTACGGTACAACTGATGCTCGATCATTTGGTTAGGCAACAAATATTTATTAAGTGAGTTAGTATAGGCAGACCCAGTGCTAGGCCTCGTCTTTTAGCTGTGGGTTGGCAAACAGACATACTGCATGCCATTCCTTTGTCCTAGTGCTTTCTGAGTCTGTGCTATAATGGTATGTAGTTTACCTTCTAGCAGCACCTTGGCAGGTGGGTAGGGACGGGGGGTACTTTCTGGGTCTAGTTGATGTTGGACTGTCCTCCAGATGAGGAAAGAGAGGCCCAATTTCCGGGTGTTTACTGTTGATTCTGGGAGCTCTGCTAGGCACTGGCCAGAATAACTGGTCATAAATAAATAATTACAGGATGCCGCGTATGTACTTGGCACTTCATGTGCATTATTTCTAGTTTGCAGGCTGGCACCCAATCCACTGAGCCATACCAGCCAGGGCAGAATGCATTATTTCTAATCCTCTCATCCCCGAGGTCGTGGGATTTGAACTCCGAGGCTCTTGCACTACAATGTGCTGACTTCCTCTGTTGGGTGAGGCCTGGGAGATGTGGGAGGGAGTGTCTGGGTTAGACTTGGAGCATCTTGGAGCCAGCACATTCACCTCTCAGAGAAAGAAACACACCCTTCTCTGGGGGATTTTTACAAGAGAAATTGAGTCAGTTCACCTTGGGCAAGTTTCTTGACTCTCCCCAGGTTCTGGTTCCTCACTCATGAAAAGGGACTAAAAACACTTACTTTACAGGATTATTGGGTGAGTGATGATAATGTGAGTGAAGACAAAGTAATGAAAATAACACTGGTATTTTTGGTGCTATTTGCAGGCACTGCGCTGGGTATACTGCAAGTGTGGTGGCATGTGACCATTGTGACACCTGATGAGGCAGGTGCTGTTGCTATTCCTACTTTACGGACCAGGAGGCTGGGACCCAGAGGGTTCCGTAACTGACTCAAGGGGCGTAGCTCGTGAGGGACCCACACAGAGCTCTAGGCTCTATGTGACTCTGAGGCCTAAGCTATGCCACACTTCTCAAGGTGACTGCTATTCTCAGAGACGCTGGGGAGCAGGTATAGAGTTGTAAAATTGTAGGACTTTTCCAGAGCAAGGTCTAATTCTGTTCAGTGCACCTGTTATGAGATCCAGCCTTTTTTTCTGAACAGAAGGAACTGGCATAAAATATGACATTTCCCGGGAGTCTTAATCTTTCTAGGAACTACCGTGAAACTTAAAATGACCATGAATCTTTAGTATCTCTTACTGTATCCTTCCCCCCCATACAGTTACTTGCACCTAAAAATTAATGTGTGATTTACTGTGTTTTGGAAAAGGCCAAGCGATATTAAAACAATGACACCGGGCTGCTGGAGTCCGAACTCCATTCCAACAGAAGCTGACCAGCCCCTTCTATCACCACCCCCGCCTGCCTGCCGCCACGTTCCTGCTGCCAGAGCTTGGGCTGAGGTCGGGGGAGGGGACAGGGATGAATCTGAGCGTCACGAAGCACCTTGAGAAGTCAGGGTCACACTATTGCAGACTGAGAATAATCGAGCTCTAGTAAGAGGACGACTCTGGTTCCTCGGCAAAGCAGCGCGACAGGCAAAGTGGCTTACCCCCTCCCCCCACCACCCCTCCATCTTGCACATTTTTACTACAAATGGAAAACAGAGAACTGAGCTGTAGTTTGATTGTCCAGTTTCGGTCCTACCATCAAATGGCAGTTACATATTGATTTCCCATCACTTCTTCCAACTGGGAAACATCTGACAGAACCAAATATTATCTCATTAAATGCTGGTAAACAGGAGAAACAAGATGTGTGTTTGGTGGGGGTATTGTGTATAACTGTGCTGTCTCCTGAAGGGTTACAATCATTTTTACTACAAAGATGCTTGATGACACCTTTGGATCATGTGGACTGGGAATGTGACTCTCGCAGGGGTGTCCACACTGCGGCCCGCGGGCTGCATGCAGTCCACGATGGCTGTAAATGTGGCCCAACACAAAATTGTGAATTTACTTAAAACATGTTTTTTTTTTTTTTTTGTGGTTTCACGGTGCAGTGTATTTACTGTGTGGCCCAAGACAACTCTCCCTCTTCCAGTATGGCCCAGAGACGCCAAAGGTTTGGACACCCCTGCTAGAGTGTTCATATTAATAAAATTTAGTAATAAAAAATGATCTAGTTTTTTACGTAGTTTGAATAGAGACACTCTGCCCTTATGAAGGTGAGCGATAATACCAGCAATCCTCAAGTGGCTGGTTCTCCCCTCATCCCCGACATGCACAAGGATTTTCACTTTATTGTTTCTGTTGATTCTCTTTTACTGTCTTGGTAGCATCTATTTCTCCTAAAACAGTAAAATGTAACCAATTTTTCAAGTAAGGGCCTACCCAGCAGGGAGGTGGGGGACCATGCTGGTTTTTTATCAAACTGGGATATTTATGCAAACCATTTACTACAAAAAGATCTAGAAAGTTATTTGCTCTTTGATTAGCAAATGAAGGGTGGGCTTACCAGAGAACAGACTTTACTTGTAAGATTCAAAAACATTTGTAGCTTGCAAACTTCTCCCTTTCATAAATGTGAAAATAACCCAAACAGGCTGTCATTTAATCATTTTAAATGGCATTTAATCCAGCAAAGCCAACTTTAGCTGAGTAATAAAAATATGTTGACATTCAAGACATATTGAATTACTCAGTCACTAATGGAGGTAGCAACAGGAATTTTGTGGCATAAAGCAGTTGTTTCAAGCTCAGAGTATAAGTGGCTTTTATGACACTATTGATTGTTTTGTTTCTTTAGTTAAAAATTATGCCAGATGATAAAAATAACTGCCTGACCACACAAGTTTTTCTTCTTTTTTCCCAATTGAAGTTCAAGCCATATGAGTTATTTTTGTTTTTAAGAGTTCAATTAAATAAAAGGCAGATCCTTCTTACTTCCCTAGATGCTCTGGAGATTGTTTTTCAGCTCTGTGGAAATCCATGTCTGCACAGATACAATGTTCTTTTTCTTTACAAAATTGAGGTATAACAGGCATGTAACCTTATAGTGTTAGTTTCAGGTATACAACCTGAAAACGTCAATCACATAATGATTGGACATTTTTATCTATAGGTAAATGATCACAATAATAATTCTAGTTACCATCTGTGGTAGGCAAAATTACATTTTTTTTTTTTTTTTTTTGCGATGAGAACTTTTAAGATTTAGTCTCTTGGCAACTCTCAAAGATATACTACAATACTACTGACTATAGTCACCATGCTGTGCATTACATCCCTAGGACTTATTTTATAACTGGAAGTCTGTACCTTCTGATGCCCTTCACTCACTTGGCCCACCTCCAAACCCCTCCCCTCTGGTAGCCATCACTGCGTTCTTTGAGATACAATGTTCTTTGATACAATGTTCTTTAATACTACGTAATAAAAGCCATCAAACTCTATGAACAGAAGTTCATGCCATTATAAAACACTTGAACATGTATGTAAAAAATTTTATATCACAAGATATGCGTTCGTACTTTTAAGGACCTTTCTCCTCAACTAAAGGGCCTTCTATGTCAAAGCTTGGATATTTTAAACAAATGTCTATTATTTGGATTGTCTCTTCCATGAGAGGAAGTTTATAAAGGGTTTAGCTGGAGTACAATGTCATCATGAAGAACCATTTTCCAATTGCAGAAAGAGTGCTCTTCCTGCTGTGTGATGTACCCTGGGTGTCTACAACTAAAAGACATTGTAAAAAAATCTCTTCCTGCAGTGAGGAAGAAATATTTTCACTCCCACGTCTGTTTCTTAACAGAAACTCATTGTATAAGTTTATTGAGCAGAAATTGTGAAAAAGATGGGCAACTCACATATAACCAACACGGTTTCCAATGGGAAAAAAACCATGCTAGACAAAACTGATGTTTATAAGATCTGAGTGGGAAGTCAAGTTATTGACAAAGGGAATGTTTAATGATGGTGGTTAATTTAAATTTTGGTAAAGCTTCTAGGAGAGTAACTTTATGTAGTTTTTATTGCCTAAATGGAATTTTAAATGAAGTTCTGGAAACTGGAGTTCTGTGGATATAGTCTCCAATAAGAACAAAAAGAGGCTAAGTACCCCTGTTTAATTTCTTTACATGTATTATGAAAAATAAATAAATTTATTTCAGATTCAGCAACAAAACAGGTAAGTAATATGCAAAAAAAAAAAATTGTTACTCTGCATTATAAAAGTAACCACAGTTTCTAAACTCT